TATATGATTTTAAAAAATTTTCCACCAATAAGCGTTATAAAATTTGTTGTATGATATATGATTAAGTCCTTTCATTTTCTTTGCCATTTGATTATAACTTATAATGTAATTAAATTTTGTCTTGAATGATTGTTATAAACATTTATTTATTTATTTATTTTGTTGAATGATATATGATTAAGTCCTTTCATTTTCTTTACCATTTGATTATAACTTATAGTGTAATTAAATTTTGTATTGAATGATTGTCATAAACATTTTTTTTTAAATTAAAGCCTTAAATATTTTTCCACCAATAAGGAAAGAGTGGAACCTTACTTTTATATATATGATTGTAAGTAAATATGGGATAATAATAAGTATGTATTAATATAATACGTTCACTGTTATATAGTAGAAGTTTAGAATATGTATTTTTCAATTTTATGAAAAGTTTATGACATATTTTTTTGTAATTCGTAACTGAGAAAAATAAGGTTTGTTTGCATATCATTTATCTTGAGTTATATCAACTTCACAATTCTACATATTGTTTGTATTGAAGCTTGTGGCAAGATCTTAAGCTTTTGACAGTACCATATGATCTATGAAACCTTAACAAACACGTAGCTAAAGCCTTTGGTGAGTTCGTTGCCTTTGTAGTGGATCTTCTTGACAACCTTCAAGAACCAAAACGGCACCACAAAGGCACTAATGCAAGCCAAGCAAAAGGAATACAAAAGCTAGATCGAAACACTTAAGCCCATCTCTACAACACTTTAGAACTTGTCCATTATGATATATTCAACTCCAACTTCATTATAATGAAATGGTAACACAAGAATCAGTGAGTGCATCCATACCAACATGAATAGACCACAAAAGAAACAAAACCTATATGTACATTGCTTCCACAAAACCAAGACTTGTCTCTCACTCACTGAAACAAAAACACAATTACTGAGACTAATCATTAATAACCAAACCAGTACCAGTATCAGTAACATTAGCAGTACCAGATACTTGACCTCCCATGTAATACTTATCAAGAAGTTCTTGAACCATCTTCACAACCTTCTTCGTAATCTTACTAACTCCACTAATCTTCTGTATCATCTTAACCCAATCTGCCACAGCTTCATACTCAGGCTCACGAAACCTCAAAGCTTCTCTTCCCACTTTCCTCGCAATCTTCAGCAAACCTTTACGCACAACGATCTCTCTTTTCTTCACGTTAACCATCTCCCAAACCGAATTCAAAATCGCGTAAAACAAGTCCTTAACCAAACTCTCCTTCTTCAGAGTCACAAGCTGAAGCATCAAACTAAACCCAGCTACCAAACCTACCAACCACTCCTCTTCATCAACACAGTCCAACGCTTTAAAGATCTTTGAACTAAGACCATTGTCCAACAACGGCATCAAGAACTCTTCATCAAGAAGCGTAGGCAACTCACTAAACATCAAGAGAGCTCTTTTATTCCCATCTAGTGAGAAAATATAAGAACAGAGCTCATCCCAAGGATGGTTCTCAATGAAAACATCAACAGCGACGTGAGATACGATTCTTGAGATGATTCCAAAGTCTTCATCAGAAGATTCAAGTTCGTAAAGACAAGTATTCAAATGGGTCTTGATGCTTTTCAAAGACTCTGTTTTCAAACCTGCCCCTGAGTAGTCAAGATCGTTGAGAAGTGAAGCAAGGAGAGAGAGCGAGAAAGATCGAATCTTTGGGTTTGTCGTCGCATCGTTAGTGGACATGTAGAGTTTTAGAAGCTTCACGGCTAAGATGTTTGGGAAATGGTGAGCGAAGGTTTTGTAGAGATGCTCTGTTTCTTGCTCTGTTTCTTTAGCGTGACAGAGGATAGTGACGAGCTTTTTGATCCCTGTGATGTCGTGTGTTGCGAGGATCTCTTTTGCTTTGGCTCCGACGTAGTTACGAGATGCGGTGAGCCGCGGTGGTGGGTATGAGGTAGAACCTTTCTCTATACGACGATTAGCCATTTTCTTGTGGATTTTGTTTTCCGAGAAAATCTTTGGGTCGAGAGTTGAGAGAGAAAGAAGAGATAAATGATAAAACAGTGTGTGTAACAGAGTGATTTGATGAAATCTTTTTATAAACGATTCGGTTACTTTTTAGTTTTTATACGTTTCATGCTTCTTAATTGAAAATGACTAAATTGCCCTTATAGATTTTTTTTCTCATTTCTTTTAGTTATTTATAATTGGTGAAAACAACAAAGAAAATCGAAAGTAAAATATTAAGTTTGTTAAAAATATATATTTATTATTTTAAAGTAATTCAAAGAAATTTTGAAATGGTTCTAACAGCTCAACATTACAAAGTATATATTTTTTTTGTGTTATACCCGTATATATAATTAAAAATAATTAAATACTTTATATATATATATATATGAAAAAGTTTATTAAATATCCATTTTGGGTGATTTTTATTTGTGGGGAAAATCTATTTAGATAATTTTTTGTTTTAATTTATCTTTAATTATTTGGATAATTTAAGTTTCAAAAATTACAAAGTAATTAACTCTCCACAACACAAGTAAGCTTGATGTTGAAAACTCGATTAATTAAACGTTACTGTTTGAGAGATAACTATACTGTTTGTTCTGTCAAATAATCTTTTTGCGTCATAGATGTGGCACGTGCCCCATCTAATTATAATTATATATTTCAAGCAAGCCACATCTATGACGCAAAAAGATTACTTGACAGAACAAACAGTATAATTATCTCTCAAAAATTTTCATTTAAAAAAACAATATGGGGTACGTGCCCCACCCTCTTCCTCTCTAGATCCGTCCCTGTTTGTGTGTATAGCAAAATTTGTTATGTTAAACAAATTAGTTCTAGGCTTTAACGTTATACGTACCAACATACATGTCGTTGTGTATTTGGAGTAATATGTGTCTTAAAACAGTAAGTAGCAATTATGAACCACGCGAAGAGTAGTATCGAGAACGAAGAAAGGCCGATCAAGAATGGCCAGCCGACAAACTCGACCCCCAAACTTGTGAAGAAAGCACATGGCATAAATGACCAGACTACTAATGAAGGACTCATCCATTTCCCTTTCAGCATTAACAGAATAGTAACATTCACCATGTTCCACTCCATCGAGTCGCCATAGCATAGATGGTTGAGGCAGTGTGCAACAAACGAATGACAGTTACATGTGAAGAGATTGTAGCTTTTATGCTCAAAGCTATGTGTGGTCATGCTCAGTGTATCATCCCAAGTAACTCATGACCCAACCTCAGTGTGTCTGAATCCATACTTGCAAGTGTGTCCACCCAAGATTCGTGGTAAACAACACTGCAACAAACCCACGCATTTGATACAGTGAACATAGTATATTAAAGGTCTTATCTTTAAGATGCAGAACTAACACAGTTTCATGAACCATGCATGCTTAACAAGATCCTTATGAATACATAAAGCAATTACTGATACCTTGGTTCGATCGAGTTGGAGATACTGAGCAGGAGGAACATATTCAAAATTATCAACATTGATGAAGTTAGATACAACAAAGTCCAAAATGACTCCATCTTCTCTACAAAGTCCTATATGGCCAATGAAAGGAGTCAACCAATACACAATAGGGAGAGGAGTCCAGACAATACAACACGGGAATTTTGACTTTCTTGTTAACCAATATATATATATATATATATGTATGAAGAAATGGCTTTCAAAACATAAATAGTATTTATCTAGTTGTCCAAAAATCTCGCAAATCGTACTTGTCTTACAAATTTATTTTCTAAATAACGTAGTTGAACCGTACCACATATTAAAACTGCTTCTCCCGCACTCTCACCATTCGGACCTTTAATTATTTGCATGTATGGATCACTGTTAATTCTCATTAATAAAATGTAGTAATTCCAAAAAAAAAAAATGTAATTCGAATCTTAATTATTATTATTTATTTTTTTGGTCACCGTAATTCAAGTCTTTATATGTCAACAAATATTACATATCTTTATTTAAGGTAATTGAAATTTCGGTATTAAAAACAAAAGATCACGTAAATTCAAGAAAATGTATCAAAGAAGATAATGAAAAATCTCTAAGGCTAAGAATCCGCCACGTGGAAAACATTCACATCTCATCACACTTTTCATTAGAACACAAACTCAAAGAAAACACATCGCCACAACATAACACCAAAAACTCAACAATGGCTGACAACAAAACGGTGCGTTTTGGTCTTCTTGGATGCATTAGATTCGCATCAAAGTTCGTCAGAACAGTAACACAATCCTCAAACTCCGTCATCGTCGCCATCAGCGACCCATCTCTCGAAACCGCGAAAACCTTCGCCGCCGCCAACGATTTATCGCCGGAGAACGTCGCTGTGTACGGTAGCTACGAGGAGCTGCTCAACGACGCAAACGTCGACGCAGTTTACTTGACGATGCCGGTGACTCAGCGAGGGAAATGGGCGGTGATGACGGCGGAGATGAAGAAACATGTTCTTATCGAGAAACCACCGGCTCTCGACGCGACGGAGCTGGACAAGATCGTGGAGGCGTGTGAACGTAACGGTGTTCAGTTTATGGACGGTACGATTTGGTTGCATCATCAACGGACGGTTAAGATTAAAGAAACGTTGTTTGATTCTGGATTGCTTGGAGATGTTCGCCACGTAAGCGTTTTGCTCTTTTAGTTAAAAATTAAAAATTTTGCAAATTGGTACATAAAATATTCTCATTTAGTCTTCGGCGTTTGGGTATTCGGCTCGATTTTAGATATATTCATAATGTGTTATAGTATTTCTTTGGGTTGGACAAAAAAACCGAACCCGAATACTCAACCCGGAATCCGACTCGAAAAAACTGGTTTGAGTAGGGTCTAAAACCGGTTCGGGTCGGTAAAGTTTTGTTTATTTTCGGTTTGAGTTTGGTTTGGTTTTGTTTATTTTCGATATAGTATAATTTATTTTACAAAATAAGTTTAAGATAAATTTTAATTAATTTTTTGACAAGTATATATTAAAACTTCAGAATATTTTGGTCTAAATATATATGATATCAGTTTGATATATTTGTGTAAATTGTATTCCTTTATGTATAATAAACTTGCTTGAATCTTGGTTAAAATACAGTTTTAATATGTCGGTTTTGTTCGGATAACCGAATGGATATCCGTACGGTTCGGTTAGTAACCGATATCCATGGATAGTTGAAACAATACCCAACTGGTTTTTTGTCTCTAACCGAATCCGAACCGAAATTTTGGTTCGGTTTCGGTTCAGTCTGTTCGGTTTGGTTCGATTAATATGCGCATTACTTTCACTGATCAGTCACTAACCTTTAAAGTGACACAATGTGTATATATTTGTAGATGTACACCACGATGACAACTCCAGTACCAGAGCAAGTGTTGGAGAGACTAACTAAAGAAGCTATGGGTTTAGCCGGAGCTATTGGAGAGCTTGGTTGGTACCCTATAGGTGCAGCTCTATGGGCTATGTCTTACCAAATGCCAATATCTGTCAGAGCTATGCCCTCCTCTGTCTCCACAAACTCGGTTGGGACTATCTTGTCATGTTCTGCCTCTCTTCAGTTTGGTTCGACCACAACAGCAATAGTCCATTGCTCTTTCCTCTCTCAGCTTTCCACCGACTTAGCTATCTCAGGTTCTTACCATTGTCTTTATACCATAGGATTAATATAAATCGTAATATGACTAAATGGTAATAGCTCAATTGGTAAAGATCTCTGACAAAAACATAGAGGTCGCCGTTTTAAGTGACGCTTGGGATTAGGAGTCTAGGGGAACAAAATTAAACCGACACGAATTGAAAAAACCGATTTAAAACCAAATACTTGTTTTAAAATGTCTAAAATACTGAATCCGTGCCAAAATGAATACCTTTAGACTATAGTAGATTTGTTACAACATTCATCAGTTTCTAAATAACATATAAACGTATACCAAAAACATAGATATGTAAAATACTAACTGATCTTTTTGTAACAACACTATATGTTGAATTGGATTGCTAGGATCAAAAGGTTCGGTTCAGATGAATGACTATGTGATACCTTACAAAGAGGACACGGCTTGGTTCGAGTACACAAGTGGTGCTAAGTTCGTGGACATGCACACTGGTTGGAACGTGATGCCGGAGAGAGTTACCTTTGATTGTGGCGGAACTGAGGAGTCGCAAGAGGCAATGATGCTGAGAGAGTTCACGCGGCTTGTCGAAGGAATCAAGCGGGGCGATTTAGAGGCTGATCATAGGTGGCCAGAGATCAGTAGGAAGACACAGTTAGTGGTTGATGCTTTGAAGAAGTCTGTTGACATAGGTTGTGAAGTGGTTCATCTGTAAAACTTGTCGAGAGATTCTAGTTAGGTTATGATATTTATATTAGTAGTGTCATAGACACATACATGTGTTTTGGTATCTAACTTTTATAAGACCAAGATGTTATGTACTTCTTGATTTTATTTGATACTGCAAAACTACTTTAACATTTCATATGGATCAATCATACAAGCAAGACAGCTTGAAGATGAATTCATGTTGATTCCATTGTATATGTTAAGTGGTAGTCACATGAAGATGACTATACAAAATATATGTTAATTATTTGTTTAGTATTTTAAATATTGATTTTATATGTTTTTTTAGTATTTATAAAAAAAATCCGGATTTAGAGTTACACACTTCATCTCACAAAACAATTTAATTGTATATTACATCATGTAAATATGTAATGCTATGTACTCAACTTCAATGTGTATGACCTATAAGTTCCATATCAAAACAATATCTGCATTATATCAATAATATATCTTACTCAATATTAAAAATAACTAGACATAAATAAAACAAAATTAGCAAAGAACAAAGAAAAGGTAATATTATCTCATATTTGAAAAAAGAAATTGACTTATTTATATTTAGTTCATATGTTGAAAACATGTTCAAATAATTGTAAATAAAACTATACTAACATTATCATAAATTTATCGAAAATCATATAACCTCATTATTTTCTCAAGTTTATTATTGAAAAGATTAGAAGGGAAAAATAATTTTATAGTTTCTAGTTTTACTGGAATATGCATGCACATTACAATTAGCGTTTCAAAGTTTTAAGAAGTTATGCACATTAGAATTAATTAGCTTTCAAAAAATTGAAAAGCCTTAAAACAATTTTTGGTTTACATACGTATTATAATTATTAATAAAAAAAATAAGTTACACATGTTAAGATCTCTAACTGATAAAATTAATATGTGTCCCGATCAAGGGAGTTACTAACTTTGAAAACCAAAGCTTATATACTAAACAAAACATTAAATCATATAAGTTACCCCAAAATGAAGTTAAATCTCATAATCTAAAACTTTATTATTATTCTCTTCGACATGATACAACGATACCAAGATTGAACATAAAATTTTAATTAGTTTTCAGAATTTTATCTGAATCAAATTCCGATTCATTTGTAAGTGCACCAACTGGAGCGAATTCTCTTTGTTTTGTTGGAGTATCCCATCCATACTTGAAATCCTCACTTAATTCTTTCCCGTGGCGTACATATACTCCTTGTTCTTTTGCGATCCACATACACACATTAGGGTGCATTCCAGTGCATGTACCATATATAAAATCTCGGCTCGGAAAAAAGGCTTCAAAGAACACATGATGTTTATAGTTTGGTCCCTAAAACACAAAACAAAAATTGTTTAACTTCCTGTACAGTCAACAATGTACTGAGTGTATAACTAAATGTAATTTAATCAACCAAAAATTTTAAATCAATAGAGCAGATTCTATATAAAACAAAATGCATGAAAGCAAACCAAAAAATGTCTTTTAAAAATCCAGTCAACCTTTTAAAATCCATGAAAAGTCTTAATATTACATATGACAGTAATTGTGTTTTGGATTGAACTAAAAAAACTCAAAAACAGGATTTATTCCATAAAATATTCAAATTTTCAATAATACAAAAAGCTCATCCCTAATTAATATACCTAAAAATATGTAAATAAATATATATATAAAAAACTTAGTTTTTACCTGCCATAAGTTACACCGAAACAAAAGTTTTGGTATAATTATAAATTTATATTGAAAACTCTCGCTTATATTAAGATAGGTAACTGGAATACCAAAATTTTTAGTCTCACACTGAACTTTCAGTTTCTTGTGAAACTCAAGCTGATTTACAATTTGGAGATTAAATCTTCTGAAGAAAGGAGTCAATGCGGAATTTATAGAATCAAAGGAAAGTAGGACAAAAAGAAGACAAACCAAATACTTTCCCATTCTTAACTCTATGTAATAAAATTTTCTTAGATGATTAAGGATATATATACACACGCACATGAGCCTGGTAGCACATAAATGAAATAATATATCTAATGATATGGTAATTAGTAAATACTAATTGTGCCAAATTTGACTAAAATAAAAGTGTCCATATGGTAACATTTGACTGAATTAAATAGTAAAATAATTAAAAAGAAAGAAAGAATATGTGTTCTATTTTTTTAACTATAAATTATAGTTTCTTGGGAGCCAAATTCTAGACTCTTAAATCTAGGTAGAGGAGAACTAAATTGATCTCTTAAGAAATTAGTAAAATTATAAGAAATACTATAGGAAGAATAGTATTTGTATAGTGTTTTTATTCTCGAAAAAGGTATATTTTATGAAATAAAATACATACTCATACATGTGTTAAATACGAAATAAATACAATGATTCTCTAATTGATACATTTTTTTTTTATTCTACATACGTTAAATAATGGATGTCTCTTAATTCAAGTTATTCCTCTATAAATGTCTTCTTAAATGTTTATCCCGAGGTCAACTCCTCTTTTTCGAGCTCATCAATGTCTTCAACTCTTTTCTCTCCATCCCATTTCCCTCATTTCTGATGGGTTCATCTTTGGAACATCGACCCCGTCTTCCCAATTCTCATCTCGTGGGATACATATTATTTTTCCTTAACACTAGGCCTTGAGGATAGGGTTGAGGATAGGATCCACCAGACCCATAAATGAGGGATTTTGCTCCCAACATATATGAAAATGAAGATCATATTTTTCCAAGAAATTGAAAAAACTAAGACGAATGATATATATTTAAAACTATTCAAAAAAATTTATATATTGTTTTTTTGTTTATAGTGTCAATTACCTAAGTTTTATAAATATAGTTTTAAATAGTTTTTAATAAAAGTTTTTAATTTTTTTTTAAAAAATATAGTTCCACAGTGTACCACTGGTTAAAATCTAGTTGTTTGACAAAGAGCACCACATTTTTGTTGTCTTATATATATACTTCATTTTGTTTGTTTTTTCAATTTTAATCTAAAGCTAACATTTTATATGTAAGTTACAAATGAAAACACAAAACAAACTTTATAAACTACTCAGTTGCATATTCCGAATTTCCATTCATTTAATCATGAAACCCATAGTCTAGACTTAGCTTTAATGGTTGTGTTCTTTTTATGTACATCCCCAGCCTAATCTATAGTAGATTTGTTGCTACATTCATTAGTTTCTATATAACATAAATCCAATAAACTAGAACGTATACCAAAATAATGATATGTAAAATACTAACTGATCTTTGTAACAACACCATAGTCGAAATGTATTGCTGCTATAGGGTCAAAAGGTTCAGTTCAGATGAATGACTATGTGCTACCTTACTCCGAGGACACGGCTTGGTTCGAGCACACAAGTTGGTACATGATGATGCCGAAGAGAGTTGCCTTTGAATGTAGCGAAACTGAGGAGTTGAAGTAGGCAGTCGTATTTTAGAGCTTATGCTTATAAAAATATTATAAAGAAAGGAATTACATCATCACTTTTTTATTTATTGTCTTGGTCTTAATTATAGTAGATAAACAAGTTTTGTCATCGCATATATCATTCAAAAGATTGTAGTTGAAAACCTAAGTTATCTTTAGAATAGAGAAATACCTTCTTTTTTTTTTGGTTTAATGAATGGAGAAATACTTGAAATTTTAGTTTGGTGATTGATGAATATAATGTTATGATTTCAAGTGATAGGGAAATAAATCTTAATGCATAATATAGTGAAGAATAATTAAGGCAAATACTCTTTTTATTTGTAAGTTTTATATCTAATAAAAGTTTGAATAAATAACAAAAAAAACCTAAAATGTCGTTATATAATTTAGCTCTAGATCTCTAGACATTTAGGAAGCTCCAATTTTTGCGAAATATAGTTGAAATGAAAAAATAAATTAATATTTATATATTATGAAAATAATAATATTAAATATTAAATTATGTCAAAATATAATGGGATTTGGAGACAGATGTCAAACTTCCATTAATTATATAATTTCCAATATTTTAGAAATTGATTTATTTTTATTTGACCAGAATTGTTGATTTCTTTTTATTTGACCAGAATTGTTGATTTCTTTCTATTTGACCAGAATTGTTGATTTCTTTCTATTTGTTTTATATATAATGTCATATATAGTCAAAGAAAGAAATCAATTACTAAAACAAAAATAGCAAAAAATCCTAAGACTTTTTTTTTTAACAGCTGTAAAAAAAAATCCATTAGGGTTTCTTTGGAATAAGAAGAGCCACCACATATTTTGTTGGCAATAAATATACTTCTTATCTCTCTTTGTAAATCAACATACACCACCAAACCTCTTAATCACTCACATGTATTCATCAAATCCTTGTATCATCTCTTAGTATACAAATCAAATAGTCTCTTCTCTATATATCTATCTCTCTTAAAACTTCTCCATTTCATCATCTATCCAATGCATCACTCTCATCAGATGCCGTCAAGACATGTAATAGAAGAGTGTATCGAATCATATCCCTTAGTCACATACATAGTTACATGTTATTATAAATTTATAATATGCTTTACGTACGTTAGTTTCATTAATATATTTGTTGCATGCAGATCTATGTGCTTTCTCTTCTTCGATATGTGAAAATCTATCATAACCATCATGGGATCTATGCTGCTCATTCCGATCAACTTCCCAGGTTTTATTCATTCATTATGGTAACGTTTTATATGTAAACTACAAATAAAAATACAAATTGTTATGGTCATGTAATATAGCCAACCCATACTTCATACATTATGGAGCTATATTATATAATGATGTTTTCTCGCATCATAGTTATATAGTCGTATCATCACTCACTCAATCTAAAAATATGGATTTATATTATGGTATAATTGAGCTGAAATTTATGTTCTTTAATGTAACCATGTCAATAACGAGGCACTTTAGAATAGAGCTCTCATACAAAACCAAGAAAGACTTATGAGCTCATGACTAGCTTAGATGCTACATTAGTTCATGAACCATTTGTGGTATGCCTACTAATTATGGAGACGACGATGTCTCCAAATTAATTGTCGATCTTACCACAAATGTTGCATGAACTACGTAACGTTGTGAATCTAAGCTGAACCTGAGGTCCTAGCCATCTTTCTCTGTTTTTTCTGAGAGCTCAATTCTGAAGTCGCTCTCCTTATTGTTCTGATTATAGAAAAGAACAAACTTTTTTCAACCTTTCCTATATACCATAATCAAGGCATATTTTGAGAATGAATGAGAGGTGATCAACTATATACCTATGTTTTTTTTTTTTTGATAACCAGGGAGGTTCGGTTCGGGTCTTAGGCCGTAATCTCCCTAGGGTCCGAGAAGACCGAGTGAAAATCCCTGGCCAAATGGAAATATCTAGCGATTTCGATATACCTACCTATATATATTTAGTTTAGAAACTGGTCCATTATAGGACTGCAAAGAATAAGACACAACCATTTTTGTATTTTTTTTTGGTGACTTGAACTTTTTGATCTGGAAGTAGTATCGGGATCTGGTGTCTAAATGCAAGATCTATATATAACATCATTTAGATGTTGCATCTACAAAACCGTGTCCTGATACTTCTTCCAGATAAAGGGTTCAGTTCACAAACGAACAACTATATATATTAAATGCATTTCAATACCAAACAATTCTTCATATATTATGAAACTTTCAACTGAAACTGAAAATATGTATGGCTAATATTATGAATAACATGAATGCTGTTTTTTATTTTTTCTTACATCGGTTACATGCATATTGTTTTGTAGAAGTTTTGAGGTTAAAATTTGCATGATGCTTCCGGGAAATGATTACGGATTGAGTTACACAATCGGAGAAAGTGAATCTTGTCGAATTTGTTTTACATACTACATAATATACATAAGAGTAAGGAGTGTGCATTTTATACGTAAAACCACATAATATACTCTTAGATGGCAATCTATGTTCCGAAGTATCATACATTGGTTTGACTAATTAAGTTTTGTGGAGAAAATGTAAGTATATTATCATTGATAGACACAAGAGGAACGATATGGTACATTGCACCTGAATTGTTTGTTTTCAAGAATATATGGTAGAGTTTCCCACAATTGTTATGTGCATGCATATCTATGGAATCTTGGTTCTTGATATTATAGGAGTAAGGAACAAAACATTAACTGAAGACTCTACATCTAACACAAAACATTAATATGCATTTCTGAATGGATTTAGAAGGATCTTGACATATATAGGAGACAATAAAAGGCTTATTGAGAATGTAATCGACATCGAAGAAGAGAAGACATTGAAGAATATGTCTTTTATGCCACATGTTTTGATTGTAACTTTATTTATTAAATCATCATAAAAATTAAATGAGATCACTTTTGGAAATACTCTCAAGGTATATATAATGTTATATCCACAAAGTTGAAATCAAAACACATGTACAAAGTTGAAATCAAGTTGAACTTCAATGCATCCATACATATAATTCATAGATCATTTATATAAACTTAGCTGAAGTATTTGAGAGTCAACTAACAAAACAGTTGAGTTGTTATCAAAACTTGTCTCCCTCTTTACACAAGACCCACAAGACACATTGCTCCATAGATCAATCAAAACATTTTGCTATCTATCTTCTCCTTAGTAAACTAAAACTTGGAAGGAGGGCTCTGTTTCTTCTTTAGATCTTTATTACTTATAAATCATGATATATACAAGATCTTATAGGCATTTAAACCAACTAAATCGTCTATGCATTCTAAACGCTAGGTGTTGAATCTTAGTTCGTTTAGTGTCTTAACACTTTCTTAAACATTGTTGTGTATACAGAAACCAAAGGGACTTTTCAAGATATTAATGCCACTAGACTGTAATAAGCAAAGAACCTAAATCACTTGTGAAAGATTATATAACGAGAGTTGATAACATAATGATAATTAACATAATATTTGGTTTAAATACATATCTCTTTGGCTTTATACACACATAAGCAAACAGGATAATTGACTTTTTTGGTCGATCAATCAATAGTGACCATATATAATGATAACATATCAGAAATGGTTCGTGAAACTCTCACTGTACATAATAGAGTTATGATGCTCATTGCAACCAAATTAAGAATCCAAATTCAAAAGGAAAAAAAAAAGTAAAAAACAAAGAAAAGGAAAGCTCAAAGCTTCAAGGTTAGATCTGGGAGTGAACTCTCCATATCCGTAGCTTGTGTGACATCCAAGAAATCCATTTTTCTTTCACTTAGATTATCATTACCCGCATCAGCCGCGACCGCATCGATCCCTTGCCTGAAACTCCCAGGCCAAAGCATCTCGGCCTCGTCATCCTCGACGTAAAAAGGCATACAATTACCAAAATACCCCTGGTTGAACCTGGCAATGTTTCTAATAATATTCTCTGATGTCTGCCTTGTCATGCCACCAGCATCATGGGACGAAGCGTGAGCCCGAATTCCAAGTGTCCTAAATGACGTCATATTCGCATTTCCGCTTCCGTGCAGCGGCAGACACGAGAGAGCGGCTGCTGTAGCAGCAGCCGCGTAATTGCTACCCGATCCTCTACCAGGAAAGACCCCAGCAAGACCCATACGCATAGCGCGTTTGGCGAGTGTTCTCTCGCGTTTATGAGCGTTTTGATGACCACCAAGTGCTTGAGAGCTATAGAACTTCCTTTGGCAGTAGTTGCAAGAGAAGACTCTCTTGGATACAGTAGAAGGTTGTTGTTGTTGTTGTTGTTGTTGCTGCTGTTCTGGATTGCTACTCTCACTTGTGCTCGAAAGTGGCAACGTCAAAGAAGATGATTCAAGATCCAAACTGTTGTTGTTGAAAGAGAGGCTAAGATTCAAAGAGACAGGTTTGTAATCTTCCCCAACCGGAGACAAGTTTGATGCTACTTGGCTACTGCTACTGTCTGATGATGCTTCAATTTCGAGGTCTAGTATTGGTCTCATGATTACTGAGTGTTGTATTATTTTTTCTGCAATGATTTGTTAAAGAATTTTAAGAAATTGGATTGGTTATGTCCAAACAAAGTTAGATAATGCATACAAAATGATTCTTAATAATTATTTCAGTGGGGGAAACATTGGTGTGACTATAAATGGTCCTAACGAGTCAATGAGTAGACAACATCAGAAGTGCCAAATTTAGTACTGACACATCCATCTATCAAACAGTCAACTCTTAAACTAAACTAATTGATTCAATAAATAATTTTCACTTAAATTAAAATTAACTAATTTCCAAATAGTTTTAGTTACTTTTTATAATTTATTATCTACATACTGAATTTCTATTTCATTAATTGTGAAAACCCTAAAAAAAAAAGGACAAAAAAGAAAACAAAAAATCTGACAAAAATTAAACACATAAACACAAAGGAACAAACAAACAAACAAAAACAGACAAACATATATAACGAAAAGATCACCGACAGCAAAATCTCATCTAACATACGAAGTAGATCCACAAACTAAATTATTATCTATCCTTAGTAATTAAAATAAACTTTTATTTATTTATTTATTTATTTATAAGGTATCCAATGTTTTTGAGCAAAACGAAAAAAAAAAAGAGGAATAAAAGAAGTTGATGAAACATAAATGGCAATAATATATATGTGACCTACACAAACCAAACTCATAGCCATACTTAATAATTGTTGATCAATCATCAAAAACTTGAAATCTTGAAATAGAAATTGTTAATTCAAGAACATCAAGAAAACCAAGAAAGATGATAAAGAATGTTTCATTACCTTAAGTTTAGGATGATGATTATGAGGAGACAAAGGCTTGGGATTTGAGAGAAGAAGAAGTGTGAGTTATGAACAGATTTGACTCCATCGATCGAAGAGTGTTTTTGAGATTTAAAAAGAAAGAGATGAAGTGAGAGAGATGAGAGATGTGAGAGAGATGAGAGATGTGAGAGAGAGAGAGTTGTATTGTGTATTTGTGAGTGTTATGTTTGGTTTGGGAGCACAAAGAGGAGAGAGTGGATTGTGTATAGTGTATGTGTTTATTATGGGAAAAGCTAAGGTTGCTGTGAGTGGGAGTGGAGGGGACAATGGTGGGACGTCTCACACTTAAGTCAGGCCACAGTTTTTTTTCTTCTTTTTTATAAATTATTTCTTTGGATAATTTTCTTTATTTATAAACAAATTTTTAAGAAAATATTCTATCATGTAATGGTGTGATGGTTTAATTGGTTTCATACTCATTGTCCATAATAATTACTCTATTAATTAAAATTCTGTTAAAGGTTAAAGTTGGCAGTCAAGTGCGGCCAATGGAACCAGTTCGATGTGTGTTGGCTTTAGTATTATCGGATCTGAGTCCAAATGAAAACTACACTCTCAAGTTTAATAAGATTAGAAAAGAAAAAAAAAACAAAAGTTTAGAGTGTTGTGTTTTTGTAATTTTGAAACCCAAAGATATATATATATATTCACAAAATACTAAACCCACGTTTATCATTAACCTGTTGAGTATTTATTGTGACTGCTCTTGCATTTATACTGAAAAATGAGTAAATTTGCTTTATAAGAGATTTTAGATGAAAGGTAGATTTATATCTATGAATTTTCAGAATGGTGGTTGGCATTGAAACTTCACGAACTGCAAAATCGCTGTTTCTTTGATTATAAATCACTGTTTTTTGAATGTAATTTTTTTTTTTTTTTTTGAATGTAATCTTGTTTTTTCTTTTATGTTTTTGTCTCTTTAGAGATATTTTTTTTTTTCAACCAAGTGGTTTTGGTTAAGTGGTAAAATGAAGTAACTCCGCCACCTAAGTTCGACTAGCCTTAGCTATCGTAGTTCGAAAATATTTAACCTATTTTCACGAGCTTTAGGGATTAGTCTTGGGCCTAAAAAAACCTTTAAATCATCTTGAATTATTAAAAAAATTGAATCATTATTTTTGCTTGCTTTTTTGCCGGATATGTTAAAAATATTCGATAATCGTTGTATCTTTCAAAATTTTATCAATAATTTTCATATGACAACAATAAAAGTAGAAAAATTAGATATAAAAAAATAAAGGGAAAATAAATAAATTCCTAAATACAAGGTGATAATTGAGCATTTTATCAATCAAACGTCTAGTTGATTAATGGATATGTGAAACTGAGAGACTAACCGATTTACTAAACTGATGTCTACTCAATTAATCAGCTATTACAAAACCATTATTGATATAATGATGTTGATTTTGGAAAAGCAGAGCCATATATATAAATACCATAATTTTGAAGCGTATGAACAGAATTTTAGTACAAAACTTAAGTGATATTTTACTTTCTTTTTAAATTAAAATCTCCAATAGGTTTGTTTTTCTTACGAGAGAGTACTTTAGTCTTTACAATTTTAACTATTGAAAAACTTAAGTTAGAAATAAAGACAATTCTAATAGTGTAAAGACAGATTATTAAAAAAATGGCCTTCACGAAGCTTAAGTGCTTTAACTATTTATGCGTTTCTCTATGTTTGAGGCTTCTTTGTTTTGTTTTGCTATAAAAATGGTTGGCCATTATCGATGGGATCTTGAAGCTGACTAGGAACATAGATAAGCTTGTTCTTGATTTACTATTGTAGTTTTGTAGTCTTTTTTATTTATTTTATAATTTAAGGCGCAAGAGAGTTTAGTACATTTGTACAAATACTTCATTTTTACGAATACTTAATTTACTAATTACTTCAAATACTTGATCCTACAAATATTTTATTTATGATAGGAAATCGATCATTTTCTTGTAGTAATCAATTTTCTTGTATTGATCGATTCTTAAAAATTGTGGAAACTAATAATAGAAAATCGATCATTTTCTTACGAAACTAGTGTTGAGAGAGTTTAGTAATTTTTATTTTGTTATGTCATAGTCATTAAATAGTTCTACAAAACTAAACACTAAACTCGAAACTGTAAACTATAACATTTAGTAAATCAACTGAATATCCATAATTTTTTGTCGGTTTTTTATTTTTAATTCCTATATATGGGAATACTTCTTCGTCGGAAAATAATTATTATTATTATCATTTCTTTAACCGTCCAAAAATATTTTGTTTTGACCTTCACTCTTATTTTCTCAAATTGCTTTTATAGACAACACATACTACTTTTTTCAAATTTATTGCTAGTCTGATTCTAATTTTCTTTCTTGGTTTTTAGTTATATAATCTTGGACCATACAGCCTTCCATGTTTACATTTGCAATTTACAAAACCAACAAAAGAAAACAATACTTTAACAAAACTTATTAAAATAGTAAAAATATCTCTATCAAATGCGCAGTAGAAGTTTTGTATCCATATATATTTTACGAGACATTGATGTGAGAGGTGAGATCAGGAACAGTTCTCAAAATCTGAGATAAGAGTCCAAAGTTGAAGTTTAAAGATGATCACTACACACAAAGCATATCCCATCGTAGGACCACGACAACTAGTTCTATTGTTTTTTCTTCTTCTTGATCAGTCTCTCCACTTACTTACGTATGTTCTTGTCCAATACAACTTATTCTATTCCCTCTTTATAATACATAATATATATAAAAGTTTATTTAATTGTTCAATCTGATCATGTGAAATTTCTAAAAATAGAGAATCGAAGGTTTTGGAGTATAGTAGATGATTGTAGGGTTTAGATTCTTTTCTTTAATGAGTCAACTATTCTTTGTTACAAGTTTTGAAAAAGATTAAAAATTCTATGTTTTCTTGGTGTTGGTCCATAATGATATGATATTATCTTTTTCGTATCAATTATTGACATTCATTATGGATTAAAAATGATGGAGATATGTTTTAGAAAACACATTTTTGTAACCAAAAAACTACATTTACTTTTAAAGCATATGAAAATTTTGTTATTTAAAACGTTTATAGTGGTGAGCTATGATTAAGCAACTCTACTCCCAACACCAAAGTGAATTATTTAACAACAAACAACCATGAATTAATGGTTTTCTATAGAAACAAATCATGTTAATCATTTTTTTCATATACCATTTTGGTATATCTGACTAACGAATGCAAAGTTTAAGACTAGCATAACATATAGATATATATGTGCTTCTTATCCATAGTACAATAATATATGTTCTGCGACAAGTTGCTAGTTACATCAATCAAGCCTAGTTGGTGTATTAGATATTTTTATATTTCCGTCCGTACATGAGTAGAACAAATAATAGACATTAAAAAAATGATGTTCTTGAGAAAAATTCTATTTTTATGACAAAATTTATGAATGTGTAATTTTTATTAAAATCTTATAGATTTATTATTTTCGAATTTTAAAAACGTTTACTTTTTTTTCTACGTTACGTACGTTATAGTAAATACTAAACCCTAAATAAAATTAAAACCGACTAAACTAAAACATAACAATAAAACTCATGTTTAATCGTATTTTCCAACCTCAAAAATAGTAAATCTATAAGATTTTATTAAAAATGGAAAATCCACAAATGCCATCACAAAAATAACAAATATATAAGTGATTCTTAGAAAAAATTCATTTGGTTCTCAGAAAAAAAAAATCATCCATGTAAAAAAGTGTTAGTGAATAATCAACTTTTCTCATGTTACATAATGATATCTATTTTTTGGGAATAAAATTAGTAGTGATATATTCATTGATACAAGAATAGAAATACTAGAAGAAAATAGTACAATGGTATTAGATAATACTATTTTCTTTAAAATTTAATCTTTTAATCCAGCAAAATATTATTCAAGCAACTAACATAGATGCATTATATGTCAAAATTCAAGAACTATAAAGTATGGTGGCAGCATCCCATAAAAAGATTCTTTATGTTATTGTGTTTTCCTTTTTTATAAAAAAAGAGAAAAAGTGAAGTAGCTCCTCAGTGCATGGGGAGGACATCTGAAGTTTTTAGCTTTTTATTTTTATTTTTTAATTTTAATATTTTTTTAGTGTTTTAAAAATTTTGAAGTTTGAGAACACTTTAGATTCTTTAAAACTAGTTATCTTGACCTTTGCTGTGCCTTGGTAGCCTCTCCTCACCCATTGGACCTTTGCATCTTTAATTTTTTTTTGGTTTGTTCTTTTCTTTCTTCTCTTTATTTATTTTATTTGTTCTTATCACTCAAAAATACTTTTTTTCATGTCTAATCTCATCACATAATAATTCGAATCTCTTTCCACATTGTGTTTATAATTGACATGCGCCGTTTCTTCGCTTCTACGTCTAAACACAACCTGTTTAGTAGATTTTGGTAGGGATTTTTTTTCCAATAATTGTTACTATATTAGAATGATGTATTTTTGTATATTACTTTTCGAATTCGTATGATAATATGGTAAATAATAGATTGAAACACAGTTCTATAAATGTTTTTACATATAATGTTATATTAAAAACGTAATAATTTTGTAGTCTGGTTATTCGAATAGTCGGGTTTTCGGGTTTCAAAAATTATCGAATTTATTCGAATAAAAGACTATTCGGGTCGGATCGGATTTATAGTTTTGGGTTTCTCCAATTCGTTGGTTAATTTTGCTATTTAGAACACAAAATGATGAGCACTAGGTTTCAGCATATAACAACCTTTTAATGTAATCTAGCTGATCAGTTTATGTAAAGAAACAAACTGTTTATAACATCACTTATGGATGAAAGCTACTTTTTTTGCAATAAAATTTAAATTTTTGAAAGGAAGTGTTTGGAATACATTATTTGGAAAATCAAGTAGATCATCAAATCTTTATATACATTGACATATTTTGGAATTTGTATGTAGTTTCCCTTTGTTTCCAATCCCTAAAAATTTTATGTTTTCTATTTGTCAACACATGTATTTTGATTTTTTTCTGTATGAGTTTGATACTTTCAATTTTTATATATAATTTCTAATGTTTATTGTTAACTTTTGTGAAGGTTAACAAAATCTATAGCCACATGCTTGTTCTCCCTTTACTAAAACGTTCACTATTGATACTTTTCCACAAAGTGTTTTCATCTTCCACTTAACTTGAAAGA